GTTGTGAGCAGCACTGTCACCTCATACTCATTCGAGGTCACCTCAAATGCCGCCAAGCCGTTTCGCATGCTGCACGGGTTTGTGAACGACGTAGCTGCGCCTCGGTCGGCGGCGTGCACCAGACCATGAAGCGGCCGATTATGAATGCCCCAACAGCCGCATTATGCCTTTCATCTATTCAACTGGCAGAACGCGCATAAGCCTTATTTATTGGGTGGCGCAATCATCTAAGCTACTTGGTACTGAAAAGTTCGCCTCATCGCGCAGCTTCATTCATCAACGTTCGATAGTCAATTTAATTAATTGCCGTTTCTTCGACGATAGTTCCTTGGCGTGCTTCCAAACCGATCGATCCGACTTCGACAACGTCTGCTCCTCTCGTAAACAGCAAAGGTGCATGTAATTGCTGTCAAAACCGCGTTTACTTGCTTGGCTGACTCTGGGGCGAGGTGGACCGTTTTGCTGCCTGAAACGCAATTCGAAACACAAATCGAAATTCTGATTAACGGCTATTCGATGGCTGTCACTCTTCTGACGGCGAACCGATTCCGACACGGCAATTAAAGCCGTGATCGAATCGAGGGCATTGATCTGAGGCTAATACGCCAGGCGACCGACGAATCAACAGTAGATTCCAACAACTGAATCGACGACCGCACGGAAAACCAAAAAACAGGGCATTTTTATAGTGCATCGCTTTAGTGTGTGGGTGACCACTAAGACAATCAACTAGCCTTGTTGAGACAACGAATTATAACCTCAAACAGTAGGTCGGTTACCTCTGTATGTTGACATAAACATGAGGCTGATCGTTGACTCAAAGCCGAGACACATCAAGTGAGCCCTAAAATAAAAATGGGCCCGTTTGAAGGATTCTTGGAGGACTGACTTTTTATGATAGGGCATAGACAACGACCGATGTTTCGGGTTTTCACTTAACGTGCCACCGTGTCCGCCAATTGGAGTTAAACTAGCTGGCGTTTTCAAAACTTAAACATTAGTCGTACAGTTGACAGGTTCAGCTACTGTCATCGTGCCATTAGCGAGCGAAAAACCACACTTCATCTCGCACTGCACCGTCTCCTCGCTCCTAGTTCCAGGGGGCATTTAAGCAGGTAATGGGTCCATGGTATTTGAGTATCTGCATTCCTGTTATATTCGCCAATGACTATCACTTACTCGCTATAAACGGTTGTTCGGGATCTAGTATTCCGATTATGCATTGATCAATCTTAAGGGAAAGCGAGTTCATGTGCCTGAGTAATTCAGCAGTACCTAATTTCTCGGCATATTGTGGCGAGTATTGCAACACACCTTGCTGGGAGCCTGCTTGCTATGGGAACAATTACAGCAAGCTACTTCTTACATGATATCTGAGTAGCAGCGGTGTTAGATACTCCACACGTCGTCTTATTCCCTATAGCAATTGTTTTCTCCTATGGTGCTTTGGGATCTGCCATTTCTTACCAAACACGATCTTATTCTCTTCCATTTGAGAAGGTCGCGGTTCAATGATATTTGAGTACCCAGGAGCAGTGTACTGCATGCAGAACCGCATCCTACGCTGGGGTGTGCTTACGGTGTGAAAATCTGGTATCTGAAATCAGCCAGTCAATGAGTTTCGATGACCGTCTATGAAAGTTTCAATTTTTTCGATTCCGAGTTTCGATGACCGATGAGAGTTCCTTTCAGGTC